GTGACAGCTGGAGCTATCTTAGATCCCCCCTTCTATGATAGCTGTTTTTTCAACTCTATTATAAGTTATTATGTGATAGCGTTAATTAAATGATTTAATCTACATGTTTATAGCATGTGTAAAATGATGCATTAGGTTTAGTTGTAGCTATTTATTTGAGCTGTTATATATTGTGTTGTAGCATTATTTTGATGCGATCATATTAAGTGTTATAACTCATTGTTCAAGCTTAATATATTTGATTGAATTTATATATACTTTTATATTTCATAAATCATCCAAAATATACATAACAAGTCTTACAAAACATCAATCCAAGTCTTAAATTAACATCACAAGTGTTGCTAAGCCTAATTCATCATGAACAAGTCTTTCATACCAAAAAGCTTAGATTCTTAAGTTCAAATCTTTTGCCTTCACCTTGAGGATTTCCGAGTTGGTGAAGTCTTCAGAAGTACTAGCTTGCCTGATCAGCCAAGATTAATATTATCAAGTCCTCGTTGGTGCCCCACCCTGAGAAAAAGAAAACATGAATCCAAGAATCAGATTTACAATATTCAAAAGTTGGATACAAGAATCTAGAATTCTAGATCAACAAAAATGGATCAAAGCGATTCACGAATATAATAGTCTACACATCTGAGTTGTGAATTACAAATAAGTGAATAACTACATTATTATTGATCCAAATTTAGAAGACAAATCTGCGTCTATGAGAATCAGACAATCAAACCAAGATCCCATACATCAATCATAGTCAATAAACATGTTTAGTCAACCAACAGATCAGTTCTGATTAGAGAAAGAAGAATAAAAACACCATTAGTACAAACAAATCTTGTAGATCCAACAAATAAACAAGATCAGTGATACAACATGGATCCGACCGTCAAAAAACCGAACTCGATCCACATCAAAACCATTAAACAAATTGAACTAACAATTAGAGATCAAATAAAACCTTAAGTGGACTGATAAGCAAACAGTGATCGGGTTACACAAATAGAGATGAAGAAAGAAAGAAGCAGAGTTAGTAGTACCTTCAAAAGCGGTTCGCAATTGATCAGCATCTTCAAGAGGAGAAGGAACAAAAGAGAAACCTTGAGAGTCGCCATTTTTGTTTGGTGTTTTCGACAACAAGATTCATGAATTAGTCAAACCCAAAAAGAGTTCAAGCAACCATTCTGTTTGCATTAAACTTAACTGCGTTTCAACTACCAATTGATCAATCTCAAGACATAAAACAAGGTTATAAACTGATTAAGTTGATTAATTATTTGATAATGAAATCAGAATGAAATAAAAATCCAAGAAGAAGGGCTTTAATAACCTGAAACAAGTTATCGTTCTTGAGGTCATTTTCATGGGAACAAAAGATTCTCTAAGTCTCACTCCTGAAAATCTCTCAGCAAGTCTTTTTCCTGGCCTCAAAAACCTTTGTAGGAGTTTCAGGGCCGCTCAAGTCACTGGTTTTTCTACAAAGAATTCAAATATAGAAAAGAGTAATAAACATTATTGGTTATGAGTTCGAAAAGGATCCCACCAGCATAGTTGGTGTACTTATAAGACTGTTAACTTCTCAAGAGGAGCAATGGCAAATGTACTTGGGATTTCTCCACTCAAGTAGTTTGAACTAAGAAGCCTACGAAGAGAGAACATAGTCTCAACATTAGTAGAGACCAATTCTAAAAATGAACATTTTCAGAGAAGTGGACAAAGATTCTTACATTCTTTGAATGTTTGGTAGATTCCCCAGATCTAGAGGTAACTTCCCTGAAATCTGACTGTATTCTACCATATCAAAAACCAAACGTTTCAGAAATAATAGTCTGAATCAACTAATTACTAGAGTACGAATTATCTGAAATATTTTTGAAGAGACAAAGATCAAAGAATGGTACCCACATGCTCATAACGTTTGTAATGTTTCTAGTCACTTTTGGGATTGAATCTAACGCTTCAAATTCTAGTTTAGCTTTGGACAGAACGAACAAAGGGAGAAAGGAAAGGAGGAACTAATCCCTCTTCAATCACCCCCTCTACTATTAGTCTCAGGCTGTCTTCTCTGTTACAAAGTCTTAAGTTAATTGTTTTCTTTGAAACTCGGTCCAGATTTATGACATACAAGTAAAGTCTCATGAAGTAGAAGTATAACTCACCTCTCAAAATCATAGAAAATGACTGCATCAGAAACAATCTCGCTAAAAGCTGGTATAATATCCAAGTCATTGTTTTCACCGAGAAAAGGTAATTTCATCAAACAACTTTAGTAATGATCCAAAAGCATTTTAGTAATATAATACCAGTAGATCCAAAACAAAAACTAATACGAATCTATCAAACCCAAAGACAGTCATATTTAGATTGAATTCAAAAATCAATCAAAGAAGAGAGATTACTTTAGCTTAGTAGGCTTTGGCTTGCGTTTGTTAGCGAGCGATTTCTTAATATTTTCCACCGGATAAAGCTTGGTCGGCTTCTCTACCAGAGCTTCGACCCTGTACTTAGCAAAACGCCGCCATTTTTGGCTTTGATTGCCTAGAAACACTTCTTCTGGTACATCTAAAACAGAGCCACAAACAACATTGTTGCAGTCGCGGGACCACAGAGAAACCACCACCGTCACCCGAGGCACTTACGAAAATGCTATTGCAATGAAATATGCTATTGCTATCAGAGCCACGATCATTTTTTGGCTTAGTGTTTTGAAAATGCTTTTATATGTAAGTTCATCCCATTAAA